CCGGAGTACAAACGCAACTGCAGATTAAATGCAATTCTGGCATTAATCCAATCTTCTAATATATGAGCCATACTTCGTTGAATTTTGGCACTGGGTTAGCGTCCCAGGGGTCTTAATGCTCCAACTGGAGACTCTAGTGCATTTATAAATGGTTTAGTTATTAGTTCTCTGTAAAAAAGACATTCACGTGGGCTTGGACACTGGATGCCCCCCTTTCGCAAGACAAACTGACGCACCCACGCCACTTATGCTCTCATTATCGGCTAGGGTAGAAGTATTGGTTGAAGAAACACTTGTGTCGTTACTATTTCGTCATGGAGAATAACAAGTGCAACATTGGGAGGCATTCAACCTCGACCGAGGCGCCTACACTTGAAATTGACATGAATTTTTCGAGTCTGTTTTTCTTTCTTTTTTTCTTTTTGCGCTCGCCCGTCGCTTTGTTTTCATTCGTCATCCCCACTTTTTGCCGCTGATGTTCTTGCGCGCTTCTTCGCTCGGTTCTGTTCCACTTTTCTATCGCTCGAGGAAAAGTTTGAATCAGCGGAATTTGAGGATGGTGGAATTCCAGTGGAGGGGGCGGGGGAGCGGGTTATCGGTGGGCGATTGCTACTGCAGTATATCGGCTTGGGCTGCATGATGAGGGAATTGAAGCATTTTGGCGATAATAACATTTCTTAAGGGTGCCAAGTGAATTTGAAAAAAAAATTTTAAAAAATGTTTTCTTTCCCTCCATCATTGGAGAAATATGTATTCATCCATCCGACGAAATTTCAAACCCGCAGCCGGAACTAGACATCGAGAAAATAAATGCGGAAAATCCTCTATTTCGCGTGACGAACCTCGAGAAAGCATGGGATCAAATGGGTACGGCGGGTTGAAATATCTCTCTTATTCACCCCGGTACCCCATTGTTTTTTGTCGCCATCACATTGAACACATCATTCCCCATATCTTCAAATTTTTTCAAATTTTTCTTGAGTTCCTAGGGGGTNGGTTCAATTCAATCAAAACTCCATAAGAGGGCGTGTATAAGACTGATTTTGTTTATTCAATTTCTCGATATCCATAAGTTCTAAAATTCTAAAATTGTCACCGATGTTCACCATCTGTCTAATACTATTAATTAAAAAAATTATAACTTTGTTGGTGAATGTCAATTTTCAAGGTCATCGCCAAATTCACTTGGCATCCTTAAGGCGATTCATTTTTGCTTCCAAATTTAAGTTTTGGATTTTTTATGTTATATCGACTCAGGATGATCCAAAAAATCCGAAAATGCAATTTTTAGACCTCATACGTACGTGTGTATATGTGTACGCATGTAGCAAAGTTTTTCTTCAATTGTTCGCTACTGAATGGTTGGAATTGAATCTTTTTCTTTTAAATATAGGTACTGTTGAGCCCTATCGATCGCCATTAATTAAAATTCAATTCATCGATGAGCTTCTTTAATTTTCGAATTTATTCGAAAATCGGTTGTCCCACGATAACTAAAGAAAATGTTCTGAATTAATTGAATGATGGCTTAAAACATTTGTTGGATGTCCTTTTGACTGAGTTCGAAGATGAAGGCGATAGCGATAATCGTTATTTTGATTTATTTGAAAATTTGCAAAAATTTTGTATTTTTTGAAAATCAGAATTCCGGGGATATCTTTGAATATCATGCTTCAAATGAATTCAATTATAGATTAAAATGTTTGTTTTAATGCCATTAAGTCGAAGTTAAAAGATGATTACGATAGCTATATCTATAATGATTTGATTTTTATGATGATTGTTGAAAATTACGAATTTTTCATGCATTTCCTTGAAAGTGAGCTTTCTGATGGTTTCTTAAAATGTGATATTTCAAATTCATTCAAGTATGTATAAATAAAATTTTTCTATTAACATTTTATCGAAGGACTGAGGGGAGAGGTAGAACTGCAAAAAAGACAACCGGTTGTATAGAAGAAAGGGATAATAAGAATAATGATGATAATAACATTAAACTATGTTGAAAATTTGACAAAATTAGTTAAAAATAAATTGATTCAATTCAAGAAAATGAAATAAACAATGAATTATACATGATGGAAGGAAATGATGTGCAAAATAACCATTCCGAAGCATATTCCTAATTTATTAGCAAAAATAGCTATACTATATGCAATACAAGGGCAATTTCTTCGGACTTTTGGCCAGTTTTCAATGAATATCTAAGAAAGAATCTAAGGAAAATAGCAAAATTTTTGTTAAAGTCTTTTTTATAGCCCGTAATTCGCTCTACAACAAAGTTCATTACAAAATTTTCGTTATCTCCCTTAGATTTGGAGATATTCCTCAAGAACTTGGAGCGCTTCGCTACAGATTTTTCTAGAAAACCGAAGAATTTGCTTGAATTTTTTATAAAATCAGAGAATTTTCGGGAATTCTGATTCCAGCGTTTTATCTGAAAATACGTATCACATCACTCGCAGTAGAGTACTTGGCGCAAGCCTCCACCGAGTCTCTTCCCGCTGATAAAACAAAATTGAAGAATTTTTTTTAGAATTACTTATCAAACACACTCGAGACAGTTCAAGAGGTTCAAAAGGGGTTGTTGACTCTCAGAAGCGTCAAAAATACTTCCAGGAAGCCCTCTGCAATGTCTGTTTACCTGAGATTTGTTTTCAACTTCAAGAGGCGAGCTCCGGAGATAAGATACGGGTCTCGGGATATCGTTGCATCATTGCAATCCTTACTGCTCACTGTGTACGTATCGAGTTAATGCTCTCTGTGTTGAATTAAAACGATCGGCGACCTCTCAACACACACGCACCGGACGGAGGTGGCTGGGCATGACCAAATTTGGTGCGTTTTACGCTGGGCACTCACCAACGCCAACTGCTCCAAAAATTTTTTTTATACTTTCATTTCGGGTTTTTCGGCGCTTCCAAAAAAAAATCCAAAATGTTCTCTAGTTTATGGAACTGATAAATTTTTGGAGTACTGTAGTGCAGGAAATTGCTGTTGTCACGAATATTTCGCAAAGATTTTTTGATTTTGATTTTCATTTTGATTTTTTTAATAATGAAATTTATCTTCATTTCGTAAAACATTACATACGTGTATCTAGCAAGAGCTGTTTATGTGGGTTGTTTATGGCAAAAATAAAATATAATAACAAGATGAAAAAAAGGAAATTAAGTTACGATTTTTTTTATTTGCGTTTTTTATTTGTTTTTCAAAAATGTAAAAAAAAATTCGCAGAAGAATCGGGGATCTTTATTCTATTTTACTCTCGTATCTACATCCATTCTCTTTTTATCGCGAAAATTGGGGTCATTCTAGTGAATCCCCAAATCAAATCCATTATTCCCACGTGAGATCAACCTGGGGGAGTTGAAACCGATATTTTTAGAGGAAAGTCTGTTTGTTTGGATTGGCTATATTTGCATCCTTCCAGTGAAGTATCACCACTCGCGTCCCCCCATGTCTTCTCCCCCCACTCCCTAAATCCTTCTTTCCAAAATTTCCGTAAAAAATGCCGGAAAATCTCTAGAAATTCAAGAATCCAACAATTTCCGCTTTTCATCAAAATTTTTAAAAATTAAAAAATAATTTGGAAAGAAATTGCATTGCGAAATAATTCTTTTTAAAAATCGAAATAATGTAGTGGAGGTCGGGGTAAAACCGCGACACCTTTGACTTTTTTTAAATGTTAATGAGGGGTTCAAATGTTGATAAAATTTAATAATTTTTTTTACAATACAAAGAACAATTCTTTCCCTTTGTGACGAGCCTAAACTGAGCTCAATTGATCAATTTGTTCCTGAGTTATGAATAATTTTAAAAAAGTCTAAAGTGTCCGTTTTACCCCACCCGCCCTATATGAAATAAAGAAAATTAAGTGCTCGGGATTTGAGTCGGATGGGTATAAAATAANAGTCTAAATTGTCCGTTTTACCCCACCCGCCCTATATGAAATAAAGAAAATTAAGTGCTCGGGATTTGAGTCGGATGGGTATAAAATAATAAATAAATAAAATAAATGAATACAAAAAATAATAAATAATAACTTATTGCGAAATAATTTTTTAAAAAATCATTGAATGTTTTCGTTTTCAAAAAACAATCATTATTTGCGTAAAAAAACTTTAATATTTTTTAATCTTTCGAAAAACTAAAAAAGTGGAAAAATTAATTTTCTCAAAATCAAAATTGCCACAAAAACCGAAAAAATTGATGAACAACTGAAAAAAAAATTCATGTTTGCGATGAAAAAACCAAAATTTTCTAATTTTTTGAAAAACTAAAAAAATTGAACAATTAATTTTCTCAAAATCAAAATTCACCCAAAAAATTGCAAATCCAAAACCTTTGCATTTTAAGTTGAAAAAAAAATTATATTTTTCTAAATTCATATTTTCCAAAGAGGAATTTCTCAAACACTGGTGTGAAAAAAAAATGTAAATCTTTAGAATTACAACCCCTTTTTCCCCCAACCCGCAACATAAACGTACGCTCCTGTCTGCTGAACCCGCGGAACCTTGGAACTGGACCGTATAATCGAGTCGTAAGTGTTGTGTGCGGACGTGAGGTTGGTGCGATCTGAAAAGTGACAAATTGGTTAAAAACACTCATCAAAAACAAAAACAAAAGCCAACCAAGGATGATCTAAACTGGTAAGTGTCATGTAGTCCCCCTAATCCTACAAAAACCCAAAAATCCTCGTGAAAATCTCAAATATTATTGATTTTTCCGACGTACCCGGACAGATGGGCGTGCGCCGCATAGTCCTCGTCACTCTTCCAACTTCCATTTCTGTCGATGAAACAAGAATAAAAAATGCCTTTGGGATGTAAAAACATGCGTTCCCCTAACCCCAATAGATCGGCAAAATTGCCGATTGTTTGGGCGGTTTTTTTGAACCATTTTGGGGTTAACTAACCTCAAATATATTTTCGGGGTGGGGGTGAGCAGACGGATGAGGGTTCTACGAAAATAGAAGTGATTCATGGAGAATTGACAGGTCAGACGCCACGTAATTACGATATTCCGAGAATTTTAATCTAGCCCTAAATACGGTCTGACGACATTTTATTTTCATTTTTTTTTTCATCATGAAAGAAATAAAAAGGGGAGAACTTCTTTCCAGAGGCGAAATTCCAAAACAATAGGTCGGAAAATCAATAGGTGTGGATAGGGTTCTAATAGGGATGGCTTTCATTTTTTTAATCGAGTTTTGATTTGGGGGGTTGATTGCTGGGAGGAGTCTCCCTCGGATTCTCAGGAGAATTTAATACAAAATTCCTTGGCGATAAAAAACTAAAGACTCCGCTATCCCCAAAATATCGGCGGAATCGGTAGTTTTTGGATGATTTTGGGCTTAACTAACTGGTAATATATTTTCGACCCTACGTAATTTAAATATTCCGAGATTTTAATCTAACCCTAAATAAGGTCTGACAGCATTTTATTTTCTTTTTTTTTACATCACGAAAGAAATAAAAGAGTGAGGACTTGTGTCCACATGCGACATTCCAAAACAATAGATCGGGAAATCAATAGGTGTGGATGGGGTTCTAATAGGGATGGCTTTCATTTTTTTAATCGAGTTTTGATTTGGGGGGTTGATTGCTGGGAGGAGTCTCCCTCGGATTCTCAGGAGAATTTAATACAAAATTCCTTGGCGATAAAAAACTAAAGACTCCGCTATCCCCAAAATATCGGCGGAATCGGTAGTTTTTGGATGATTTTGGGCTTAACTAACTGCTAATATATTTTCGGGATGACCCTACGTAATTTAAATATTCCGAGATTTTAATCTAACCTTAAATAAGGTCTGACGGCATTTTATTTTCATTTTTTTTACATCACGAAAGAAATAAAAGAGTAAGGACTTGTGTCCACACGCGACATTCCAAAACAATAGGTCGGGAAATCAATAGGTGTGGATGGGGTTCTAATAGGGATGGCTTTCATTTTTTTAATCGAGTTTTGATTTGGGGGGTTGATTGCTGGGAGGAGTCTCCCTCGGATTTCCAGTAGAATTTAATACAAAATTCCTTTACGATAAGAAACTAAAGACTCTGCTATCCCCAAAAGATCGGCGGAATTGGCAGTTTTTGGATGATTTTGGGATTAACTAACCTCAAATATAGTTTCGGGATGACCCTACGCAATTTAAATATTCCGAGAATTTTAATCTAACTCTAAATACAACCGCACGACATTTTATTTTCATTATTTTCTCATCATGAAAGAAATAAAAAGGGGAGGACTTCTTTCCAGACGCGAAATTCCAAAACAATAGGTCGGAAAATCAATAGGTGTGGATGGAGTTCTAATAGTAATCGCTTTCATTTTTTTTATTCAGTTTTGATTTGGTTTCGGGGGTTGATTGCTGGGGGGCGTTGGTGGGCGGAGACCTTCTTGGGTTTTTAGGAGAGTTTAGGATTTCTTGAGTGTATGAGGATGGTAGGGACTCGGGTAATCTAATTACGCGAAGCACTCAGACCGTTGCTGGGATCATTGAGTTGGACAGTTGCAGGGGGAGGAGGGACTGAGGAGGTTGGCAATGATTTTGGAATGGGGTTGAGGGATCGAGCGGTTCAGGTTTTCACTGAGGGGGCTTGAATGGTTTTTTTTCAACAGATAAATACAAATGCTTTTTACAGAGCCCTGAGATGAAATAATCTCTTGAGGACAAATTGATTAACTTCAATATTTACAATAGGGGAGGGTGGGGCAAAACGGCCCCCCTTCAATTGTCAATAACTTGTGAATGACATTGTGAAAATTCTCAGTTTCAACTTCATTTTGAAGATAGTTTTTCATTCTTTAAAACGAGCTCTAACTCACCCCAATCGGATTATTGAATCGGAAAATATTGACGATTGAAGGGGGGCCGTTTTGCCCCATCCTCCCCTAAAAAATTGGAATTTTGCGAAATTTCACTGATTATTTGAGGCTCTTCAGACCCTGAAAAGTCCTTATAAACAATCAGAAACGCAGTGCATAACCTCATATTAAGATGACGCGTTCAGTGGCTGCAATGCAATTTCAGTAGTATAAAAGCATATTATGACTCGATTAATATTCAGTCCTGTTGATTAAACTATTGATATCTCGAGAAGGAGTGGGTCTCTTAGAAAATGTATACAAACATTTTTTATAGGGAATTTCATGCACTACAAAAAAGTTTTTACATATTTTCTTCCGCACCCAGTGGTTTTCAAGATATTTGCAAGAATGTTTAGATGAAATTTCTTGTTCCTCTCATTCCGACTCTCCGTTATTGCATTGTTTGGGGCAGTTGAGTCACACTGGGAGCGTTCTTTTTGTTATTTTTTATGGGACGTGATGTAAGTATAAACATTCCGGGGCCGTTTGGATGAGGTTGGTCGTGTAGTCCATGAGTAATGCTGATTCGAGGTTTCATATTCAGCAACGCTTGTTCGAGATCTTGTTTGCGATTTAATTGAGAATGGAGTGAGTGCCGAAATATGCCTTTCCGTTTACTTGCATATGACCGAAATAACATCACTGTACCGACAACGGTGGCCGGAGTGGTTGAATCTCTGGGCCGGGGTCGCGGGACCCGTAGGGGAGCGGGTTCGAGTCCCGCTTGGGGAAAAGTGGGGTTTTTAATCTTTCGGAAACTGTGGAACGGGAGTCTAGACACCGGAAATCATCGAAATTGAATGCGAGATTGAACCTTCTCCGATAATATCCGGTCGATGGACGTCCCTGTCGGCCAAGGTTTTCCATGGTTTCCCTTGGTCACCAGGAGAGTCTGTACATGGAGCACAGCTCCTGGGGTACAATGCGACATGGTTTGATTGATTGATTGATTGATTATTTATTAACTGTACATTATGTTGTACAAAATAATTATGACTAAAGTCACAATAGCAGGATACAAGCAATGGTGGGGGAGGAATGGAACTATAAAAAGCCTAATCGGCTATATGGGAATGGAAAGAAAAAAAAGTAACATCACTGACATACAATGTTGTTCAGATACACGTGCGATGGAATTTTTCAGCTCGCGTGGTTGGCAGCGCGAGGCGAAGCCGAGGGCTGCCAACTTCACACTTGTGAACAGAGTTGGGCCCTTTACTGAAAATCGAGGTTTTCTACGGTATACAGTAGAATACTGGTAATGCCAAGCGTTCTTTAGACTTTGTCATTAGGTTCACCAAGGCCTTTTATGATATTGATCAATAAGAACATTGTTTTGTGTCTTGGTCAGACCTAAATTGGATTACGCTGGTTCCGTTTGGTCTCCTGGTTATTTGAAATACTCAAGTAGGATTGAAGCGGTTCAGAGATGATTTGCTAAATATTTACTGTGGAAGACAACTGGTGTTTATCTGGATAGGGGCGTCGATAAGGTATTGCTTTGCGCTGAGGTGAGGCTGTTCTCCCTCGATGAGAGAAGGCGATGAACAGACATCATGTTCATTATCAAGCTTATGAGAAATTATGTTGAGTGTCCTACTCTTTTGGAGCGTCTGTCGTTAAGGCTTCCTCCTGTGCATTCTCGGTCCCATGGAGCATTGTTCTACCTCCCCTCACCTCAATCAAACTTGAGTCTTCATTCACCTCTTCATAGACTAGTTAAGCATGTGAATAGCTTTGTTGAATTCGATAGATCTGTCGACATCTTCGATGATTCGATCGGTGTACTTGCGAGTAAATTGCATAAGTTTATTACCAATGTAAGGAATGAGTCTAGCGATACTGTTTGATTATTGGTTCGATACGATATGCCATCACTCACATTGTTATCTTGATCTTTATTCTTATACCTCACTTTTTGCACCTTTATAATGAATTTGTTACTCTTTTTATTGATCTTATTATTGGCCTCGGGTTGTTGGGTCTTGTAAACCTTCTAAATAAATACATAAATAATAGTATATTTCGTAACGAGTGCAAAAAACATTTTTTCACGAGTTACGAACAATATTTTTCATCACAATGTGGCGGAAATTGGACTTTTCGTCACAGCGTGATGAAAATAAATTTACCTCTAAACGGTAAAAAAGGTAAATAACTGGTAGAAAATCCATGAATCCAACTATCAGCACAGAAACCCTCGTGACAGAATTTTACGAGGATTATCAGTCGTGAGGGTCAAACGTCAAGAGGGTCATGCCTTGCAAGGGTCAAACGTCCCGAGGGTCATACTTCGCAAAAAGCATGACTCGCAAGGAACAAGCGTCGCAGCGAGCACACCTCTCAATTCAATAATAAACTCACCAAAAATTCCGGGGACATAAATAACATTATCTTTGGTTCATATTTTTATCCCTTTGGTTGGAGCAAAAAAAACGTATGCCACATTTATTCTTCTTCCGCCGTGTTTCATTCATTCCACCCTTTGGTGTTCAATTGTCCAGAGTGTTTGGAAAATGGAAAAAAATTCTTCCTCCAGCACGAAAAAAGAGACAATATTCTCACTGCCCCACATTTAGATTCTCTCATTCACGTTTATTTCTATTTTTTATTGGGAGAATTTCTCTTCTATTCTGCTTCTTCTACCCGTAAAATGCATTTTTTATTCCTTTCCCCATGATCAAAATCATAAATTTTAGATAAGGAAATCATGGCTTGCACCAATCAAAATGTTTATCAACCAATTAATTACGTTTCTCTTATTAAAATCCTCTGACAT